ACTTGGGTCTGGGACAGCGTTTCCCAAACTGCCGCCCATGGTCCTATAGTGGTCCTTGAAAAAAATTACCGATCCTTGAAAAAATATAAATAATCATTGTCTAGATTGCTCCAGCCATGATCTTGCCAGAGTTCTAGCTGGATGGGAAAGAGGGTAGTTTTCCTTTGAAACTGCAACCAAAGCACTGATGATCAGGCAACTAAGCCGTAAACACTTACTTTACACATGGGCAACAGCCTATCTGCCATTTTCCACTTGATCATGTTTGTAGTTTTGGGTAGGAAAAAAGGCACTGAAAAAAAGACAGTCTCCAGCTACGTAAAATCTGACATACCTAGATTTACGAAACAATTCTGTGAATATAGAATGCATTTCCTCAATGCTAACTTCAGTATATTTTACTCAGTTAACTCAAAGGCTTGCATTCACACAACACCTTGAACTAATCACAGGGGTCAAGTTTGCACAGCCCACTAGACTAAAATGTGTCTGTCATGTTCAGTGTGCTGTGTGATTATAATGCTAAAACACAGTGGCAACGAACTAGATTTTTATGCCCCAATTTTCCACTTTTGTTGAGAACAAGATTATAATAGGTCTGTTAAACCTATTTGTAGTGAATACAGAGACATTCTCTTTGAAGAGGTCGAGATGTTGAAAGGGGTAACGGAAAGGTAGCTGACCTGTCAATCCCAGATGGTTGGCACTGGGCAGAGGCCACCGAAGCCTAGGAAATTCAAATATCAAGGAAACGAGTAGGAGGGTGGGTTTCCCTTTCAGGTGGGTTTTTATAAATGGTCCCCATTTTTGCCTTTGTCTTCTGGTTTTTGTGTTTTCTCCTTTAAAGTTGGGTAAAAAGGTAAGTAAGTGCGGAGCCCCAACCACCAGCAAGTGGGCTAGAACCTAGTGGATTTGAGCAGCAAGATAGGGTCAGGGAAACTCATTGCAATAAACTATTTTATTTTATAGACTGAGATCTGGACTGTGTATGCATGTTCTGGTACATGTGTATTTCTGTGAGAGCCTGGCTGAGACAGCAGCTATAGTTCCTGACCTGAAGGTGTCTGAAATCAGCCTCTTCAGAAAGCAATGTTCATTCCTTCTCTTTTCCTTCTTTTCAACTTTCTCCTAGATCTCTGAGCTTGCTATATATAATAAAGATTTTAAATTCTTAATGAACCTTTGGTGCTCCCTGCGAGAGCACACTTCTCCCTGATAGATCAGGCTACTTACAGAAGGAGTTACCACTTTCCTTCTTCCTGGCAAATCAGTGGGATAGGGATTTCTTTGGAGTAAAGTGGGTGGGAACCAGCAGGAACCCAAGTTACCGCCACCACATCCCTACATGCATGCAACCCATTACAAAACTCTACGAGTAACACAAGTATTTTAGTAAAACAAGGCCCCCATTTCTGGCCTCACCTCCAGTAACATCACTGTGTCACCTACATTGTGCACCCTTAGAGACAGAATTTCATTTTCTTAAATGTCATTTTAATTTTTTATCCTCACCCCCCCCCTTCCTGCTGTAGAAGAGTTGACCACCCTGTCATGTAACAAAAGGATATATTTCTATGAAAACCACAATAAAAACCTTATGTTGCTTTGACCAGACAAGACCCTGGACATAAATTGCTCCTCAAACGTGGATATATCAAAATGAAAGTTGGTACATACATTTATACCATAATTCTCTAGTTGACGTCCCAACACCTGCCTCACCCCCAACATTTTTGAGATGGGGAGAAGAGATGCCAGAAATACTGTGACACACCATCTCAAGCCAAGTTTCTTGAACACCATGCTTCGCTCATTTATTGATGTATTTACACACATCGCATCTTTCAGAATTTGTTGCACTTTCCACAGAGACTTCTGGCACCTCTTTAGTCCAAGACAGACCAAATTAAGACTGCCTAGTCTGGCATCAGGTAGGTCCCTAGGGTCAGGTAGTAGTGAGTCCCAGTCAGGTAACTTCCTCATCCTTTTTTTAAAAAATGTATGTCAGGGACAATGACAATAAGGTGGTTATTAGCAAGCAGCTGCATGGCAAGGTTGTTGTTTACAAGTTGCAGTGTCAGTAATAGATTCTGATGAAGGAAGATAGAGCTCCTCCCAAATAGGACAGTGCAAAGGAGGATTTAAAGACGAGGCATAAAATAAATCAGTCTCATGGGCAGATGGAGATCCTGAAGGGAAGAATCCCTAAGGTGCCTCTTTGCCATCAGGATCTTTCTTATTGATGCTTATTTTACCAACACAGGAGAGACTATAATAATTAACCATCAGCCGTAGCCTAATTTTGGGTATTGTTTTAAATAATCAAATGCTCATGAACCTTGTCCGGGCTAAACTAATTAAATGCATCTTTGTATCCAACAAGGATTTAAAAAACACAAATAGCATCAACTGGTAGACGGATAATTAGCAAGAACAGAGCTGTTAGTGCCTCTCCCCTCCCTGCCAAAAAAAATAAATAAAATCCCAAAGCTATTATTTGAGGGCGAGGAAGCCAATTCTCTGTATTCCCAACAAATGCTAATTTCAGTAGAGGGGATTTCATTAGGATAGCTCCTAAGGGAGGAAAGAGTTAAATCCACTCTTCAAAATGAGGAACATGTGCTAATATCCTGGAGTCCTCTAAAGTTTCCCAGACTTAATTGCCTACCATAGGTACAACATGATAGCAAGCAATTCTACAAGTTCAACACTTTTAAATGGCATCATAGCTCTTCAGTTCTTAGCCAACACACTGAAAATTATGCCCAGTTCTTCTAACTGTAATGCTGCGAGCCATATCCTCAAAGGGGAGTGGGGAGAAACACCACAAATGTTACAATCTTGGGGAAACAGCTGCACGCAGAGCATGGATCCAGAAGATTTCTATCAGGAACACCCCCTTTACATCAATCCATTTTTTGTGAGAGATGTCAAATGCCTTCCTTCATACACTGTTATGGAATTCCAATATTTGATGCAACAACGTGCTATTTATTTTTTTCTCACTGGGCTTTTGAAGAATACAATCAGATTCATTGGAATATAGTGTCAACTTCCCCAAAAGCTTTATGATTTTTTTTTTAACAAGCAGAATTCTTTTGGAATTAAGGGAAAGTTTAGATTTGAACTTTGATATCTATATCCTGTGATGCTGCAACAAACTCGCAGGGGCACCAAGGGATATTTTAAATTTTCAAGGAAAACAGTGATATTTGATATCTGTTGGACAGTGTGCAAACTATTAGCCTGAGGTATTTCAGTTTGGCCTGGGGGCACTATGAGAAAAACTACGGAGCATTAAGGGCACCATGGACCAAGAAAGTTTGGGAACCTCTGATCTAAATCGCATTTTGAGTTAAAAAGCTGCCATGTATCAGGCCAGAACTCTTTTAGGATTTTGCCATTTTGATACATGATGGGCTTATTTTGGACAAAAGAGGGGAAAAAATGCACCACTAAAAATCAGTGGTTACACAATCAAATTTTAGCAGTAATATATGTAGGTGTTCTGGCAGCAATACTTGGGACCAAGGACCACATGAATGAAATTGAAGGCCACATGTGACCCACGAGGTGCTCATTTATGAAAATATTGGAGAGTGAATCAAGAGGCCTTGGTCATGCAACTACACTGAGCTACACCCCAACCCACTCCCTACTGCATTCCATGACCAGCTAAAGGGTTTGCATCTTGATCAATCCCATGCCAACTTCCAGCAGTGGCTATCTCACCCTAAAATTCTTTGGTTATGTTCATACACCTGCTTGAACCAGGTCAGTTAAAGATCTAGCAGCTGCATTTACACGTGCAAAGCTTGATTAGGGCTCCTCTTGGTTAGTTTTTCATGGTTCAGCTTGGTTGGCTTGTGGTTCAATAGTGGAAGCAGAGACAGTGGGCTAATTCAGGAACTGGGTTATGGGTGCTGTAGAATGTAGTCGAGTTTGCTGAATATGACTACTAGCAGGGCGGTTTTTAATTTGTTTTCAGCGCACCACCTAAGACCAGATGTTCTATCATGTGGTAAGATCCCCCCCTACTGGTAGACAGATAAAAATCACAATTTCTCTTATCCCCCTTGCCCCATGCTTTGCTGCTCTGCCATGAAAAGGAAGGCAGAAAACCTCTGGACCTCAGCCTGATAGCAAAAGCTCTCTGTAAGCCCTTTGTTGGGCCTCTGGGGAGAAGAACATTCCCTTCCCTTGGCAGCCAATTGGGCAGGTGGAAAGAAGAGGAGGGGGCAAAAGGGAGAGCAATGAACTAGGGTGCAAAGGCAGTGAAAAGTGGGGTGGCACAAAGGGATCAAAAATAAGAGGTCACCACTTACATCCTCCTTGTGGTCCCCAAGGAATTGCCTCTGAATAAAAATCAGATTAGAATAAAATGCTGGCTGGGGAATTCTGGGAGTTGAAGTCCACACATCTTCAAGTTGCCGAGGTTGAGAAGCACTGCTTTAAACAGCTGACAAGAGAAATGGAGTGCAGATTCCATCCTAATCTCACTGGGGGAGTGGGAGCGTCTTTGTTCTTTCGTACCATAATGGGAACACCCTTCATTTATGCGTATTTCTATAGCATTTTGGATTGCAGAAGTACTCTGCAATTTCTTCCTTCATGGACTTCCACTGCAACTCTTTTAGGCACTGAGCAGTTGCTTTCTCATTTTACAGACCAGGAAATGAGGCTGAGGGACAACTAAGTGAGGTGAAACTGGTGTTTCCCATACCCACATTTGTTTGTTGTAAATGTGTATCATGTTCTAATGTGGACTGGCTAAAGGAACTTGTTTGTATTAACAACGTCACCTTAGAGACCTTGGATAATCTTCTCCCTCCAATGTTGCTGCTACTATTATTATTAGCATTAGTAGTTATATTGTTATCCCACCCTTTCCCAAGAAACTCAGCGTAACAAATATACGTTTGCTATTTTCTCCTCACAACCCTGTCATGGAGGTGAGACTGAAAGAACAATACGGACACTTACAAACTTATGAATCCAGACCATGTCTAATGCTTTATCTAGAATTACATCTCACTAGGGCTGCTTATTTAACATAATAAACTGTTCCTACACCAAAAGTGCAGCAATGGTGTCTGGAGATGGGGAAGAGATTGGATAAATGGAGGTTCTTCACCTACAATGGTGAAAAGACCTCTCAGGTTATCTCATGGAAGAATATCTTTCTCTTTCATAGCTCTGTACATCAGAGGCCAGGATGATTCTCTTGGTAGTTCTGTAACTATTGTCTCCAGCTTCACAAAGGATAGGGGCTTGCACAAATACATACCATTGTTTACACCAAACATCTTTTTAAATAAGAGGAATGTGAAGAATAAATACTGTACACTGAAGCCCACCTCCCAACAAAGGGGAGGGAACTAGATAAATATGTCTCCGCTATACAGATAAAACCATTCCAAAGGGTAAGGAGGGTGGATCAGGGTCGTCAGCTGCCCAATCAACTGTTGTGCAAATTTATCCTCGTGACTCCAAGGATCTGTGGAAATGAAAGAGAAAAAACCAACTGTGACAGCAATATGGCATGCATTCTTTGTAGACACAAGCAAGACCCAATATTAAGTGTTCCCTGTTTTCAGAGTGTATAAACTTGATGGACGTAAAGATGTGGTGTTCCGTATAACTACTCCAGCCCCTCCAGTTCTGCAGCAATGACAAGATATTATCTGGGAGGCATCAGGGACTGGTTTCAGAAGTCCCTAAGTAGATAGACAGAATTAGTTGAAATTCAGAGCCAAAATTCTCAAGAATGAATAAAAGTTTAGATTTCCACAAGGATATCTAACAGTCAGAACATCTGAAAACCTGCACTTCAGGTTTGATGCTGGAACTTGATCTGTTTAGGTCAGTATTTCTCAATCTTAACAACTTGAAGATTTGTGGACTTCAACTCCCAGAATTCCCTACCCAGCATGCTAGCTGGGGAATTCTGGGAGTTGAAGTCCACACATCTTCAAGTTCCAGCGATTGAGAAACACTGGTTTAAGTGATTACAGCATTTGGATTGCAAAGAGTTTACTTTTGTCCCAAATTGGATGTTTGGTTGATGATTCCAATGAGAGCCAAACTGGACACACCATCAACACAGCTGGCAATAGTATGAAACGCTTGTTTTAAGAAGAAAATCACAGGTATGTGGAAGAAGGGATGAGTTAAATTCAGACCCTGGCTTGGGGCTTATACGCCTCTTCTCCATCCTCTATTACAATCCTGATCTGAGTCAGGGCTCCAATCCAATTAACTGGATAGAGGAAATGAGCTCCCAAACAGCCAACTCTATTATCGAAAGGAACCTCTGAAAAGAATATGCTTTTTTCTTAGATTTCCCAGTAAACTTAAAACGGTCTTCCTGGACTGATGGACCAAAAGGTGCATTAAAAACGTCCTTCTCTTTTGAACACTTGGCTCTATAAATACTCACAAAACAGACCAACCCCTCCACAATGTTTCTGCCTTAAAAGACATCAGAATCCTCTAAGGTAGAAGCAGCACCTGGTATGTTCAAGGATGTGGGGGTTAGGGAAGAAATTCCTTGAAGCCACCAATTCTTTCTCTTGCCTCTGAAGCAGATGCTGGCAACCTGCTGGGTACCTGAGATTCTCAATACCCATTTCACAGTCCATTCTTACGAGTAACTGTTGTGTTGCTGCCGGCGTCGCGCTGTCCTCATCTTCTCAAAGCGCGCCTCCATCTCCTCAAGTACTTTGGGTGTGTAGCGCACAACCAGTTTCACTGTGCCTTGTGCTGCTTTCAGAAGCTCCACTGCCCGTTCATGTTGCTCACCCTCCACACTCTGCAAGAGGGAAGACAAAAAGGCAGGGTCATCAGGGGGAAAAAAAGTCCCGTGCTCCTCTTACAATCGTCCCAACACAAAAAGACAACTCTTCACCCCAACCTATCCCATCACTGATAGGGTCAGTGAGGAACTGCCACCTGGTCTACCTTAAATTATAAATTTATGCAAGGGGAAATTGCATTTCAGAAAAAATGCTAGGGAGAGAGGAGGGAGTTCAGATGTTCAGCCAGTAATACCTCTAAGAAGGTACTCCATTCCACCTTCTTCCATATTCAGCCAATACTTCTTTGCCAATGAGCACAGTCAGTCATCACTGAGCTGGGATTTGTGGGGGAAGGTTCTGCTACACCTTAGTTTCCCTCCTCACGAAAACAGGATTTTGGACCCCCATTCCCATCAATGCCTTCTATTAGGGCGTGTATCGTTTTGTTTTGGCTTCAGTTAACATATAGCTTCTTCTACAAATTGGTGCCCTCTAGATGTATTTCCAAGAATTCTACCAGTTTGGGGAGAATGCAGATTAGGAAAGGCAGGACATCTCAGTTACCACATGTCCTGTAATACAGACTGATGCCTTTCATAATCTACATGTGGATTTTATCACCATCTCACATCATAAATTATTTTTCCTATGCATAAACCCACTCATATTCTTAATAATTGCTTTAAAAATATCATACCTTTTAAAAGCTATTTATCCCGTATAGAGGTTCTGCTCATTCAGATGCTCTCAAATTGTTAACTGGTCTCTACCTATTAAATCCCAAGCTTAGCGTAAGCATGGGACATCTTGGAGCAGTTGTCAGTACTACAAAACCTCGGCAAATCTCACCACACCTATCCTGAGCCCACATTTAATTATTTTTTCCAGCACTCTAAGTGTGAAGAGAGGCTGGACCTGGGGGAGCTGCCTTTTTAATTTCCCCAATGAAGCATTATGCCAAGGCATGATGGGAAATTAAAATGGTAGCTTATCATTTTCCACAGTGGCCTGAAGCAATTCTGGTAGAATGGTAGGAAATTAAAATTTCCCCATTCCCAGATTACCTGATACTGCCTTCTACTAGGTAAGACCAGCAGAAAGCACACACCCCTCTATTTGCTGAAAGACACTTTGTCTGCCTAACACACTTGGGGTTTACCATACCCTGGAATCAGGAAGTGGACAGTCAAGTCCCACCATACCACGCACACCTCAACATCTCTACCATGCAGACACAGAAGGTCCTGTGTCTCCCCTCACCCAATACCCACCACACCATTGACAGACAGCAGTTGATCTCCACGCTTCAGCCCACCATGGCGATCAGCAACACCCCCTGGGATGATGCGGGAAATATAGATGGGGGAGTTCTGCTCCTTGCCCCCCATGATGTTAAAGCCCAGGCCCTCATCTGTCTTCGGCAGCTCCACCACCCGGGGGTGCGCGTGGCCCTCACTGGCTGCAAAGGCCGCCACTGTTGCCTGCAGACACGAAGGAAAGAGCAGGAGACTCCAAGTCAACATACCGAACGGTACAAGGTTCAAGAGGTACAAACTCTAGTTCTGATGCTGCAAACAAATCTCCGGGTGGAAACTGTGTTCAGAAGTTACTTTTTTGCCTGGTATCACAATCTGGCACATAGCTCTGGTGTGTAGTATGACTATTAGTGAGCTTCTAATGAAAAATATTGTAAGGCTATAAATCTAAAATGTGCCCACTCCTGTTTTAGGCTATCCTACCCAACCCTATTCATTTCAGTCTCTATCAGCAATGGCGAGCCTTTTGAGCTCAACGTGTCAAAAATTCAGAAAATTCCTAACTTGATTCTGCTGGCATGTCATACACACACACCCCCGAACAAAAGAGAAACAATTCTTTACGTATTCATTTATTTTAAAAAAATGCAGTCCAATCATGTGTGGTGCTATGTATATTATACAAAGAAATGTCAAATAATTACAAAAATGAAATATGAGTAAAACAAATTCAGTTTCTTTGGTAACTCAAACAAGGAGAATAGCTGTCGGGTATTGGTGAACGTTGGCGTGTCACCCAAAATGTTGTGGCATGTCACCTTTGGCACGTGTGTCACAGGTTTGCCATCACTAGTCTATACTGAAATATGGTTTCCTTTAGCTCTATAATGCCAAATAGCCCCTTTTGTACTTAATCCAAATTGGATGCATTTGTTAATGTTTTACATATGCCGGTTTTACCTCCATCTCCCTGTCCCCTCTGTGTTACATAGGCGCATGGGGAGGGGAGGAATCAGGATGGCAACTGCAATCACGGAATCAAAGCTCTGTGTCTTTTTCAAGGTGTGTCACAAGTGCAACACACCTAAAAAAGCAGTGAGGCTTTGATTGCATGGCTGCTGCCACCATATCTGTTTTATTTTATTTTATATTATTTTTAAAAAGAACCAGAAAGCAGGGGAAGGAGGGGAAGGAGAAGAAAAAAGAAATAGAGAGTAATTTATAAGCATTAGGTAACAGTTTACAAAATGTTCGGAAAAAGGCAAAACATTCCTCTATTCATCTACTGGTAACATTAAATTAAGACAATATACTGTATCATCACGTATCAATTTGACGATTTAAGAACTTTTCTTTCTCATCCTGCAGTCATCCCCCAGTCACATCCCTTAGTTTGGAAACTTGCAGATACAGACTTAGTTTAGAATTATTTTTATTGATATTATGTAACCCCTTCTGGGAATGTTTTTGGCAGAAAAGCGGGGGAGCTATAAATGAATGACTATAAAGGGGATACTCTATATCCCTGTCCCTTTCTGAAGATAAGTTTTAAGGAATGTGAGACTCTGTTTCTCACAATAGGTATACTTCTGTTCCTTCTTTAGTTAATACCACACTGAAAAGTTTTTGCCCTTTATTCCCCAGAATATATATATACTCAGCAGGATGAGGTACTACCAATGATCTTAGCTTCCATGATACTCTTTTGAAAACATCATTCTGTTTTGTGGACCACAGATTCCCCCGATTTTTAAAATCATGTTTCAAAAATTCCTAAGCCACCTTTCATCCCAATGAATCCCCAAACATTTGACCAAGATGTGAATAAATATTAATTATGCTGAACATAATGAAGTAGTGACTAGAAAGCCAAGAGGCAGATATAATAACAACAGTAATAATACAAAGCAGGCACAAGCATTGTTTGCATTCCAAATGCTATAAAAATTAAGTCATAAGCAGGTATCTTACACACAGATATTAATGCCAGGTGTACTTCCGTTTGGAAGGAGCTGCAAAGCCATGGCATCACCCCCACCCCCAAAACTATCCTCTTTGTAGACATTGGGCCTGTGCAGCACTTCAGATTTAAAGACAAAAGGGTGCTTTGGAGCATGCAGGGGTAGGCAGGTAACACCTGTCTGAAACCAAACACCCCTTTTCTCAGGATGTGCTGCAGCTGCGGAGGGCAGACAGATGCTACGTGACTGCCCCCCATGTCCCAAAACACTTTTCTGCTTTCGAATCCAAGTCATTACACAACCCTGGTAGATACTGAAACCTTAAAAGGAGGCCAATGGATGGATCTCTGCAGAGCAGTGGTTCTCAACCTCAGCCATCTTAAGATGTGTGGACTTCAACTCCCAGAATTCCCCAGCCAGCATGCTGGCTGGGGAATTC